CTCAAGTCATCTCAGTCATTAGCTCAGATCTGACGGTTGAGACTAGGGGTCACATATACCATATCTATGGGTGGGGTCACATTGAAAGCCCTCCCAAAGTTAATACCTTATATAAAGTTTATATATAATGTTCTTATGCTATCGTGTCAATGTAATATAATGTAACCAGCTAGAAAACTATATTTGTGGCATTTGTATGGCCCAAATTTTGTATACACACTATATTCATCACAATAATAAATACAAAGAAAATATGGTCAAAATGAGTGTCCTCCAACAATGAATATTGACCATCCATTTGGTGAATTTCAAGATCTTGGCTTTAACAATTTCATTGCCAATTTTTAATTTTTAATATTGTTAATGTAATGATAATAAAGCTATCTAAAAAAATTTTAGAAATGGAAAAAAATCCTTCTAAAGCCTAGATATTAGCATCTCCATAAAATGGACAAGCTATATTAATTAGGCTAAAAAATTATTTTATAGGGTGTGTTTTCAAGTTTTATTTTAAGCTTATATACAATAAGACCATTTATCTTTGATACAAGGTAGTCACAAGTAATACAAGGTAAATGGTATTATTATATATCTTCCTTTTATTTTTTATGATTGTTTACTAGAGTGAAAAAAGTTTTTACTTAAAAAGTAGGGTTAAATAAGGTTGTACCATGGTTTTTGAAGAATGTTTCATTATATTACTATAGAATCTTTTCATGATACCATTCCCACACACACAAGGCATTAATCTTGTGATGTAAAAGTAAGATGTACTTCAAAAAATCCATTGAAAAATGTTGTTTCAATATTAGAAAATCTTTCAATTGACTATCTTGTCTTCGAAACGTATGGATACGAAAGAAATAGGATTTCAAATGGAATTGTATACAATGAGACTATTTACCTTTGATACATCGCGGTCACAATTACTTACAACCATCCGATGTGAAACCTGATAGCTTGGGTGTGTCACAAAGTTGAAAAAAATTTCTTTTGAACTTTGAGCTTGGTCAATGAAACAAATGCAATCACCTAATTTCACATACAATGGTCATGATTAATTGTAACCACCTTATACCAAAAATAAATGGTCTCATTACATACTTTATAACTTCAAATGCTAAAAATAATGCATTTTATAGCACATTATATGGACCATCTACTTTCAAAATTTTCAATTGTTTATAGATACGCTTGATCTACACTATATTTTGAGCTTTGAATTTCATAATTAGATGTAGAAATAGATTTTCAAGCCATTGCAGCAATTTTTGGCATTTGCATCTTTTAGCAAGGTTTAGAGGTGTGCCTTACTACAATTGTTTAAAGTTTGATGCCTTATATAAACTTCACCCATGTGTGTGTATCCATTTTGAGTTAGGTTGATCTAGAACCAGCTTGGATAAGTCTAGGTTGGACTAGGATTTGGACCATACCTGGTTGGGTCCAAATCTATTAGACCCAGTCCTGAACTGGCGAATATACTTGGCAAGTTCAGAGCAATTGGCGAATATACTTGGCAAGTTCAAAACCAAAATATAGGTCAGTGGACCTGATGACTCACCAGGTCGACTCGATCCAATTTGCACCCCCTCAGGACTACAAAAATAGATAGGATCAGCTTTATAATGGCAAAAGGGTAATCGGAGTGGCAATGGATGCAGATACGACCCAGGATCCGAGGGATAGACCAGATTCGAGTCTGGGTATGGGTCCAAAAATTCGACCCTCGGCTTTGGTCCAAATCTTGGACTTGAGCACTACTCAAGTGTAGGTACGGGTCCGGTTCTTGGTTTGATAATATTTTGAAGGTCCCAATATATATTTTCATTTTTGGGACGGGTCCAGGTCCCACGGTATATTTTCAGATCCGGGCCCAGCCGTTGCCACCCCTACCGTAATCCAGAATTCGTGGCCACAAGTGCGTACCTCGTGCTTTGGAAGGGGTGAGAAATAGTGCTACGAAAGCCTAATACATTTTGGCACATTCCTTTCCAAAAGTAAGAACCACAAGCCAACGAGAAAAATAAGAACCCTAGAAACCTTGCTTTCTTCTTGTGGTTGGAACACTGGCCAAATGACCTTAATGCAGTGTGGAACATGGGGTGATGTTTTTTCTTCTTTTGGGAGTGAGAAAAGAGAGAGAGATGAGGCCAAACAATGTGTTGTCCTCATGAATTGGAGCATGATTGGGGCAATTAAACATAAAAAAAAAAATCATTATTTTCTTTCATTCCTTTTTTTTTTTTTTTTTTTTTGGGAAGTGGAATATGGGTTTCTCCACAGAAAGTATAAAACTTTACAAAAATAGTTTTTCCTGTAAAAAAAAATAAAAAATGAAGGCAAAAGATTTCCTACTCCCATGGGAAATATCCATCTATCAGTGTTCGAAAAATCAAACTGGCCAAGGGCCAGTTCCGAGTGATCGATAAATCGGCCGGTTCAACCGGACAAGTTCCGGCCATTAAAAAAAGGTTTTTAAAAAAATAAAAAATACAAATAAAATATTAAAAAAATATATTTAAAGCATGATTAAACAAAGCATATCCAAACGAAATTGAAACTTAGTGGATTTTAAAAAATCGATTTTTGCTCAGAGGTATTTCTGAAATTTAAAAAAGGATGGGAAACTGTAAAAATAAATATTCATGACCAATGCACTTTCCAATCTTTATCAAAATGATTAAAAAAAAAAAATACATTACAAAAAAATGTCTTATTTTTTGGGATTTTATATATATATTTTTTTATTTTTTATTTTTTTAAAAAATACCAAGCCAGATCACCAAAATCAGCTAAAACCGGAACTGGCCACTGTCCAATTCCGACCTTATCCGCCAGTTCCAAGTTGAACCGTCCGAGTTCGCAAACACTGCCATCTACTGCATCAGTATGTGATCTTTAACCAGCCTCAAAGAAAAGTAATCATAACTCTCGCTTACAATGTACCTAAAAAATGGCATCCCACGGTTGCACTAGAACCATCCAATTTTTTAGGGAATGATTGGTTTTTTAAATAATCATCTAGTTTTAATTAAATGGATCCCTAAATTTCAAATAAAAAAAATATGTATCCCAAGTAAGTGTTTTGCCCTAGAGAGTAAAGCTCAAAAATAAATAATGGGTTGTGCACTTTGTATGAGGACCAAGCCGTAATTGTTATAGTGGACTTCGCTTTTGCCTTCTAATATAATTACCCTAAATATCTTGTTTGGTGTCAATAAGTGAATCACATGCCATTCCACATGTGTGCATGTTCGTAATTGTGAAGCAACCATTTTATGTACCCCACCTTAAGCCTAACTTGGTCCCAAAATTGCCAATTACCAAACCACCAAAATAAAACTAAGTATTGTGATGGTTAAGGAGAGAGGGGGAAAGCCATTGAACATGATGGATAATTGTTGGATGTGATTAGCTTTCTATTCATTACCATCCTAGAATTGACTACATTTCCAACTTGCAACATAAGAATTTTTTTTAAGCCTTAAAAATGGTCCATCATGTAGTATGCTTTCTGAATTGTCCACTTTCAAATATTCATAGATACGTCAAATTTGCATTATTTTCAGATATTCAAATCCTGTTGTCGGAGGGATAGGCTTCCAGGTCATCAAAAAAGATTTTGCGCATAATTTCATTTTTTGACAAGATTTTGAGGTGCGGCTCTACCAAAACCACATCCTACATTTAAACACAAATGAAAAATGTCTTTTGGCTTGTAAAAACTTAAAACCATCCCTAGAATTAGCAAAAAATAACCTTTGAATCTTAATACCATGCATAGAAATAGCAAAAAGTGACCTTGAGTCTAGGGCTATCGAGTAACCCCTGGAAATGAAGTATGATCCCCTTTTTTTGTGGTCATGCTCAATCATTGGGTCAAGCAGATTAAAATTGGGCCCCTCAAGCCCCTTGCTTTGAAATGAAGTACATTCCAAATTGATGTGACCGACCTTTTGGCAAATGGATCGAACCCCTAAAGAGTTGTAAGTTACGTGTGTTTTGTCTCAACCCTAGATTTTCAGGGTAAACCTTAACTTACCAAAGTAGAAAACAAAAGGTATAAAACCAAATGGAGAAGAGCAACGGGCACCGGCCACTAAGCATGAGGGTCATTGTTTGAGCACAATGAGCTCGTGGTCCTTAGGGGTGGTCAGGAAAAGATGTCTTTGACAAGAGCACCTCTCTCAGTGGAACCTCTATATAAGCCTAACTTGGGCTTAATGTTTAACACACCCTAAAAAACTAACCCACCCCACCTCCCTCCAATATGTGAGAATCCATCTCTCTTCCCCTCCCCAAACCTTTGAACACCTTTTGATAACAAAATAATGTCCCCCACCTGAAAATTCTCTTTGTAAATTCACTTGTTTAGATCTTTGGGGTCGAATAGGCTTGTCGAAGTGGTGTGCTCAAATTTTCTTGCAATTCAAATGCTTGTGTGCTCAATCCATCACTACACAAGATACCTTGTGACATATCAGTTTACTCATAAGCTCTAGGTTTTCAAGGAGGTACCATGCCACAGAAATAAGTGTGTTGTCGAGTTGTCGTCTTCCTTTGTCTTTCTCCAAGCTTGTTTGCACATATTGCATCTTGCAGTGGAAAACCCATGTTTTATATATAAGTGTCAAATCTAACCTTGAAACTATGCTTCATGATCATGGAAATTTTATGATCATATGTAGTTGCCATCTTCCACAGTCTGTCTCCTAGTTTGTAAATTGCAAAGATTGCATCTTGTAGTGAAACCGTGTTTCATGAGTGTCACAGCCAACTATGCTTCATGAGGCTCCACAAAACAACTTTGTAAATAACAATATGTTGGTTTTGCTTGTCATTAATGAATAAATCTAGGGCAACCTCCACAAATCTCAATTGAGTTGTCCCAGTACCAAAACACCACCCCCCCCCCCTCCCCCCCCCACCAATTTCCTTTATTTTGTCTTTTCTACCCTTCAATGACTAGGATGGATCTTAGGTCCTTGCAAGTAAGACTGAAGCTACCTGGTAAACCCTTAGCCCAATCTAATCCAAATAAAAGCCTAAAGCCATCTTGCAAAGCCCAAGCCTCAGCTAGTTTGGAAATGCTTGCCCCTCAACTAAGAGAAGGAACAGGCATAAGGAAGGGAAAATTGGGGGAGAGGTGGAAAGAGTACCAAGGGAGCAAGAATTGGGAAGGATTGTTGGACCCTTTGGAGGAGAACATGAGAAATGAGATCCTTAGATATGGGGCATTTGTCCAAGCAGCTTATACTTCCTTCAATTTCGACCCTTCTTCTCCCTCTTATGCCTCTTGCAAGTTCTCCGAGTCATCGATGCTCCAGCTTTGCGGCCTGCCCGAGACTGGCTACAGGGTGACTAGGAATCTCCATGCCACATCAGGAATTCGACCGCCACACTTCTTGACAAAGCGATCGAGCTATATCGGCTATGTGGCGGTGTGCCAGGATGAGGAGGAGATCACAAGGCTAGGCAGACGCGACGTGGTCATTGCATATAGGGGAACTGCTACTTGCCTCGAGTGGTTAGATAACCTCCGAAGTATGCTGACTCAGATTCCCAATTCCACATTGGAGTGTGATATGCCTCAACCTAAGGTGGAGAGTGGATTCTACAGCCTCTATACATCTCAGGATGACACGTGCCCGAGTTTGTCGGAGGAGGTTATAGATGAAGTCGGGAAGATACTGAGAACTTCCGACAGCACAAAACCATTGAGCATAACGATTACCGGCCATAGCCTTGGTGCTGCCCTTGCAGTCCTGACAGCCTGTGATATACGAGCTGCATTCCCTTCCTCTCCTATATCCATAACCGTGATTTCTTTCGGCGGTCCCCGAGTTGGGGACCGCCTCTTCAGCCAGCATTTAGAGAATCAAGGGATCAAGATCCTGAGGATCGTTAACACGCACGATGTTGTGACAAGGGTCCCTGGAATAGTGATCGATGACACAGGGGTCAAAGGCCATGCCAAATTACCTAAGTGGCTAATGACAGGGCTTCAGGGAATGCCATGGGTCTATGCCGAAGTGGGGCAGGAGCTCCGTGTCAGCAGCGAGGACTCACCCTACCTAAATCCCAATGACTTCGCAATGTGTCATGACCTGGAAGCCTATCTGCATTTGGTCGATGGGTTCCTGAGCTCTGCATGTCCCTTCAGAGCCACTGTGAAACGTGATTTTCTGCAACTTCTTGCTGCACAGGCAACAACAGTGTGGTGTAAGGTATTGCCTCGCTACATGTCAATTTTGTATAGGACAATGACAGCAGGAAGATGATCAACACATCCTCTGTGATTTGTAAAACTGGGGCTAGTTTTGATTACTTTGAAAGATTAATTTTACACTCATCACATTTGTTTGTTTCGGTGCTTGAGATGACATTCCTAACAAAACATTGGTGGTAAGGAACTCAAAAAAATCTATCTTTGTATTTGCAATAACCATTTTAGTTGCAAAAGGTTTCAAGAGCTACTATGGAATGGGTTCCTTTTTGAAATGAAAGAGAAAGGAGGAATAAAAGTTCGTTTTGAGATGAGGCAGATTCTAAGATAACAATGCTATTGAGATGGTATCTCATCATTTCCCACATTACACAGGTGTGCTTTCCATGTAAAATGGGATGCTCTACAAAGAGCAGAAACTACGAATTAACGACAAGTTCTCCTTATCTATGTGCATGAATATGCATACCAAGTATCCGAAATACTAACCTTGAAATTGGACTTTCCGACACAACACGTCCATACACTATTTAATGAAAGGAGAGGATACGATTTTAAGTGAAGTTAGTTACTCTTAGTACTTTTATAGTGAGATTTAATGAGGAAAGTTAAAAAAAAACAAATAGATTCCTTGATTGTTAGAGACGGTGTCTTGTCCTCAACACATGCAAAAAACCATGAACACTTGTGTCCATGTTACATAAGTTGCGCAGATGCGCATATATATATATATATATATATATATAGGAAAAAACTTGCGTGCGACCATTCGCGTATAGGTTTGGGGTGCGACCAATAGCTAGCAAAAAAGCCATCTAAATCAACAGTGATCCCCTTATTTGAGTGTTGAAATGGGTCTTAGCTTCCAATGTTCGCAGAAGCCCTCTCTCTTCTCTTTCTCAAGCTCATTGAGGAAGCCCTCTCTCCTGCTTCTTGCTCGCCATTTCGGCGTGCCACCAAAGTTCGCAGAAGCCCTAAAACTTGCATAATGGATCTCTCCTCTTACTCAAGCTCGAGCTCGCTGAGGAAGATGCCTTGAAACTCACGATTTCATCCTCTCTCTCTCTAGAAATCCCTACCCTCTCTACTCTCTCCTTTAACCAAAATCCCTACCTTCTCTGTCTCTCTCCTTGAGCCGAAATCCCTACCCTCGATTAAACCCTCTTTCTCTCTCTAGCTCGCTAAAACTCTCTCTCTCAATCTGAAATTCATACCCTAATTGTGAGGGTTTTCTCATTGACGGGTAAAAGAAGCCATCTACAACCAAAAAAAAAGACAATTTCTCTCTGCCCGAGCAAAAATCCCTCTTTACACAGTTCGATTTTTTTTTCTTATGAGTTCTCAGCGAATTTCGGCTTCATATTGTTCTTTGTGTGCACATACTGCTCTCAAATGTAGTTTTGTTAAATTTGGTTGCACACTGTTTTAGCCCATTTAATCAATGTGGTTAAATATTATAAGCCATTTTCTTTATGAGTTCTCTGTGTGCAGCGAATTTCGGCTTCATATTGTTCTATGTGTGCACATATTTTGTTAAATTTGGTGGCACATTGTTTTAGCCCATTTAATCATTGTGGTTAACTATTATAAACCACATAAACGGTGATATGGGTTCTTAAAATGAGTTGATAGGTATTCTCAAAATGTATATCTAAATTACTCTACTATATGATGTATGAGGCACATCCGTTATGCAGACAAATTTATTTTTGTTGTTTATGAGGCAAGTGTTGTTTTTAATGAATTTACTCGATTGAATTGTCTCATAATGTATTATTAGCTATGTTCCAACTTTAGTTATCGTTACAGTGCTACCCACTCAAGTACCATTATGTATAAAATTGTCAAATTTAATTTTTTCTACTATGCATTTTGTATAAAATGCAAGAATTCAACATGTTCCACAATGATAGTTATGCAGTCCTTCACACTGTGTTATGATGCCATTATTGTAGGCCCTAACAATGTTATCTCCTTCTACAAGTAATTGAGGATATACAACTCGACAATGCCTTAAGTGCACTATAGATTGTGCTACGAAAGCATCGTCAAGCACAAACAACTCAAACAGGATGTATTGCAAGTGCCAAATATGTGGGTTCTTCTAATGGTGTGATGAATATGTTTCTACCATGCAAAATGTCAATTTAAAGCATCGCATTACAAAACAATGGAATCCAATGGATGAATTTGAATAAAGAAATATTGGCAATGACACAATACTAAGTGTCATAGGGCATTTGCATCATTTTGAACTCGGTGCCTTCGAGTGTTCACAACAATTGTTGTATTTTTTGTATATAATAAATGTTTGTATGTTTGTACCTATCTTTTTTGTTTTTATAGTGCTTATTCAAAACATGTGACAGTATTTTGGGTTACCTTTTTATTAATATAGTTATTCCCATTGTGGAATTGAACTCGATTACATATTATGGTTCAACTTGTAGTTGCGGAATTCTACTCTCTCCATCTATTTCTTTCTACTTTCTCTCATCTAAGATTTCTTTATTTTTTTTAGATTTTAAACATAAGAAGCATTAAAGCACAATCGCTATTTTGCAATAGCATCTATGATTCCGGCTAGTTGTGCACTGAATAGCGCAATGGTTGTTGCTGATTTTTTTATCTTGGAAAGACCAGAAGTTGAAGACATCCATCTATATGGATGGTGAACATGTTCTATACTTGAGGTTCTTATTCTCATCCCTCCATCTTAAACTGAAGAACCACAAGAGAATAGAGCAATGGTTGTTTCTGTTATTTTTATTTCTAAAATTGTTATTATTTGTAATCTAACATAATTTCATTTCCTATCATGCACTATTGATGTATAAGTTCGAGTCTTGTTAGGAGGACAGAAACTTCAACCTTGTAGGACATTAGTGAATCTATCACTATTCAGAGAACCAGACGTGCAAATATGATATCCTGTTGTGACAAACGCATCATTAGTAAATCATTGCATCATCCTACAATTTCACTATCCAGAGAACCAGGCATATAATTTTACTCACGAATATATAAAATCCTTTAGAATTTTCAAAAACAACCATGCCAAATTTTCAAGAAAATTTCAATTTTGGCAAAATTATACATCAAATTTTGGAGATCTCAGTGACCCATATTCTGGATATTGATTCTTTTTTTTCAATGACTAACCATGACATAGTCCAATATCCCAACAATTTATATTCTCCTATTTTCACAATATCAATGTGGAAGCCAAGTTCTAATTCTTGACATTGAACTGAGGGGATGTTGACCTAAAAATCAAAAGAACCCCAAACAACAATACCATTAAGATTACAAGAAGTGAACCTGTTACAAAAATAGCATTAAGATAACATTAATAAGCTCTATTATATCCAAAAATCTTAAGTCCTGACCTATTTAAAGGTACATATCCTGTGCTGAGCAATAATGATCAAACAAATATTGGTTAAATGGTTCAATTTTTCAACACTCTGAAAACTACAATTACAATCTGTTTAATGTTTATTCTTCTTCCTTTGACTTTGAACTAGCCCCTGTACCCTTCAGTTCTGAAATGGCTTTTCATTCTTCACTTCTACTTGCACATGAGTGCACAACGTCATCCATTCTACAATGCTTATCACAACACCATCCATTTTGTAATGCTTATCACATGGGGACATTGTCCAAACCTGTTAAAGGAGGATATAAGCATACCTCATTCACCAATCAAAGGAAACAATAAATTCTCAAAAAAACATCAATTCATCAAAGAATTGCATAATTTCAAAAGAAGGATAGAACATAAGTAAGAGAATATAAAATTCAGACACATGAAACTCTAAATATTGTAATAAAGGACCATACTAGTAAGCTCTAAGTAAAACAAAGAATTTAAGAGATGTTTGAAAGTGCATATTCACAAGAGCATTTTAAGTTGCAATTCATTGCCAATGATCTGGGTGCTATGAGATTTGAAACTGAAAGTAGATTAAGGCCTTTATTAACAATAACAATAATAGGTCGGATACAATTGACCTCAATTATGACTTGTTAGATATTGATACACATAAGCATTAAATTTCAAACAATATCTCAAACACATAAGCATGAGCATGAAAATTTGAATACAATAAATACAATGTCTCAAATAGATAAGCAATATCTAATTGCAACAATATCTCAAACACATAAGCATGAAAATTTGAATGCAATAAAATTTCGTACAATGCAAATTCTATGCAACAAATATTTGTTTACTGATTACAATGCAAAGGACTAAAATACCTTACCATTACTCATCATGTTCCATATTCTCATTTGACCCATCTGTGCATCTTATATTGATATTTAACCTGCAAGAAAAAAAAACTCATTTCAAAAATTTTGAATTAATAAATTCATATTACCATCACAAAAAGTACGAAAGATGGAGTAATACTTTATTCATACTTTAAATGTGCTACAGCTTGACAATTCCTCATGTCATGTCCACTCTCTTTGTAAACTGCGCACTTTCGGGTAACTTCCTTCTCTTTAACTTTTGCTTTCGTTTTCTCTGCCTCTATCTCAGCCCGAGGTACATATGTAACATTTGTAGGTCTCCCCTTTGTTCGTGCCCGAGGGGGCTCAAGGACGATATGGTCTGCACGTCCTTCAACCTCAGCGTAGTTGTTACTGCCGGCCTTCATACTCTCAGGTGATACAGTCAAGCCTCCAAACTTGGCATCAACCTTTGCAACTGTACTTGCTATCTCAGACATTATAAATGCATGAACTTCTGTACTTTTTGAAGCACGCTCTGCTAGTACTCTAGTGGCTTGACAAACCTCATTAAAACGAATGGAAGGGGGTAGATCAGAAGTACCTTGAATTTGTTTCCCATTCATATCTAGTACACTACTTTGCATCACATTTTTCGTCCACCTATTCAATATGTAATGCGATGGGATTTCAAAAATATTTTTCACCATGAACACCCTAATCTCATGCCTACAAATAATGCCTAGCCTCTCATACATATGGCAAGTACAATAAAAAGTTTGGTCGTGACTATTGAACACAACAGTGCAAGACCTTATTCTAGTTCTACGTTTTGATACCTTGAAGGTTGTAATTGTGCATTTCTCTTCAATAATTTTACTCATGTAATTGACGCCTTCTGCAACTTTTTCTCCAAACAACTTTATAACTTTATGCGTATATATCTTCAAAGCGTGAGCCTCGATGTCACAAGTGGTCCTCAGAAAAGGCTTAAATATGATGTTCTTCAAGTCATTTTCTCTCATCTTAAGAAGCTTTTTATCATGCAATTTTAGAGTAGTTTCCAACAATATTCGCAAGCTTGTATTGAAAGTCACATAATTTTTGAAGTGTTTATTCATTTTTTCGTTTCTTTGAGTCGATGACGTACTAGCTGTGAATACATCTGCCGCATATGCATCAAACCACTGCTCTCGACATCTGTACAATCTATTGAGCCATTCATTTTGTTGAATATCATATTTCTCAATTAAAGATTTCCATTCTGATTCAAATTCTTCCTTAGTTTCACTAGTTATACAGTTCCTAAAGTGGTCTGAAAAAGATGGACTAATTCGCAAGACATGGCACAATTTTTCTTTGACCTTTGAAAGTATGTGCTACTTACAATAATGATGTATGCTTTTATTCAAAACTTGTCTCACTATAACGGTCATTACAGGATCCTAATCGGTAATAATGACTCTCGGTTGACATCCACCCATTACCTTAAACCAATTTTCAAATACACATACAAAGGACTCCACCTTCTCATCAAATACAAGTGCAAACCCAAAAAAATTTGTGCTAAGGTAGTGATTCACTCCAAGTATGGGAGCAGAGGGCATGCCAAAAATATTTGTCTTATACGTGGTATCAAAAGTGACCACATCTGAGAAGTGGCTGTAGAACATCCTTGACATGGCATCTACCCATAATAGGCTGACAATATGGCTTTCTTCATCTAATTTCACCTTATAGTAAAAATATGGATTCGATTTTTTTATATCGATTAACCATTCCATCGCACGGTTCCTATCTTCCCCTTTGCATTTGTGTCTCTTGTTTCCTAATTGGTTTTCAATGTTTTTTTGTGAGCAAGGGATATTATCAATCCCTCCAGCCTGCTCTAAAAAGATATCGTAGATATTTCAAGACTTTACCAAAGTAGAGCTCATGGAGTCTATCATTGTCATTGTCGCATCAGATATTGTTCGGTGCGATAGAATGAGTCGGGCTTTCCTTGGAGATACAAGGTCGTGATTGTGATCCTTAACAAACCTTGTGACAACCCACACATTGTTGGAATTTATGCCTACACACATTTTCGTTGCACATCCACACCTTGAATGAGGGATTTTTTTTGTAGGTAATACTTCTTTCACCCTGGGAAATCTTTCCTTGGAACATATAAATTCTCTAACAGTTCTCTTTCCATCCTTATTGTTGTGAGTAATTCCCTTTCTGACACCAAACCCATGCACCAATGCAAAGGCTTTGTAAAACTCAAATGCGTCATTTCATAATCGAATTTCATTCATATGCAAGGTTTCTCTATTTATGTCCCCTTGGATGACGACGCATGTTCCATATTTTCGGGATTTGTGAACGTATTGGGGGGCAGGGTTGCAACCAACGGATCTTGCTCCATGGGCTGTACAGTATCCCCCATGTTGTCATCATTTAACCATGTGGGAGATGCCACACTTTTTGAAATGGTGAGGTCCATTTCATGTACTAGAATTACCCTACAAAAAACACATTTCATTTGTCAATTAATGACTTCAACACTTCACATACTTTTTAATAAATGACGCCCATCACAATCCATGTCAGTTCTATTTTGAAGGGATTTTATCATAGTTTAGTCGTGTATATTATTGCAAAGACATGTTTCATTCTATTAATGTAACTCGATTGTTGTTCAAAACATTATCTGAAATGGCAGAGGATTCTATCCACTACATGATGGAGAAGAATCTTCACCATGATGTTCTTCTATGTGGCATTTTAAATTGTTGAATTTATGATTACAGCCATCCACAGGACACTCCAACAATTTGGCCTCATCCTTAAGAAGATGTCGGATCAAGTGATCTTTCCTCGTATAACTGCTATGGCTACCATCTACGGGCAAGTAAACAGTCTCTACAAAAATTGAAGTTGGGAATATATTTGAACTACTATAAATGTAGAATAAGCCTATTATGAACATATTGGAAGCAACCAAGACGTAGTTAATTTAAAAGAAAATGACTCCTAAATCACCATGGCAAATGCAGCGAATTGCAATGCCATTTTTCATTAAAAACAACACTTGCCTCATATAGTAGAGTAATTTAGACGTGCATCTTGAGAACACCTATCAGCTCATTTTTTT